GGTGTACAGAGCTTACCTGTCACATCGCAGGCGTCGCATATGAGTTTCCCCTACTACACTATAAAAAGCGTATATAGGGCTTGCTCGTCATGCCGTGCACATCATTGACAAGATATTTAGAGATTTTGAATTTCACGAGTATTGTACCTTAAACATACAAACAGTAGAAATGATAGTGACTTGACGATGAAATTGGTGAGGGCGAAAAGCACAATTCCTTTTTTTTTGAATTTTTCTTCTCTTTTTTTTTAATCTTTTCTCCCTTCTGTATTCTCTCTCTCCCTTTATTTATATATATATATATATATAATGGACAATCTATGCAATATGGGTGTCCTTTCTGGGTATTTTTGACATTCCAAATGCAATGGCAAAGTTTGTTTCATGAATGGGGGACTTCGTGCAAAATTGTATCCGTTGATCATCCTCGATCGTCTTTTGTTCGAGTTGATTGCGAGAGGTCCTCCCTTAGCAATTTTGATATTCTAGATGCATAGGCATAGTGTATTGTGATCGGGCAACTTTTGGATCATTTTGTGAGACGTCTGCCTACCCACTATCACGTTTTTCATCGCTTGATCAAGCCATGCACAAGTAGCTCTTCTTCAATAAATTCAGCTTCATGAACACATTGGTGTGATCCATTTTGTAAGAGGGCGACATTTTAGGGGCTTCTACCATGGCCGAGGCACTTTAAAGCATGTTACACATGGCATTGTGTCTGTCGATCTCACTTTCATCACACTCCCTCATATTCGATCTTGAAGCGTGCATGAGATCAACAAAAATTAGTTAATAATGCATTAACATTCAAACATATCAAAAAATAAAATTTAAAATCTTACAAAAATTTAGAATTTTATTCTCAAATATTTTCAATGAAGTCATCATCAACCTTTCAATGTGGGAAGCGAGTCCATTCAAGTTGCAGGGGAAATACTCTACGGCAAAACGAATGTGATGAGGCGAGTTGGAATCCTCTTCAGAAAGTCCTTCCTTGAAGTTAATATAAGCGATTATCATTACTTATATGAGTTAACATGTTAACTACCAATTAAATAGCTAAAAAGCTATATGCAGATATACATTTGATTCCCTGAGAAACTGGCCCTTTGGAGAGTGAGTGGCAAAAAGGAAAAGTGAAATAATGATGAGCATTTAATATGACTACCAAGCTGCGGGCAAAATTATTGCCTTGTTTTTACTGCAGCTTAAAAAGACTTGGTTATAAAATATTAGAAATGACATTTCTTTATTAGATTTAAATGAGAATTTGACTCTTAACTGTACATAATGAAGAAAAAGGTTTCATGTAACCGACACCATGTAGGGGGATAAAGGCTTGATATTGTTGTTGTTGTTGTTGATGATTTTACTATAGCCTCGTTTGTTGTGTAGATTCTCCATGATGATAGTGATACGACATCACCCATCCAACTCCTATAAGAAGCAGTCCCGTGTTTGAGCTCATCACCCTTTTAAACATTCAGTTGAACCACAACAAAGTTGCAGGTGTGATAAGGTGAACCCCGTCAAGAACATAAATTGTACGGAGGGTGGCAATTCGCCTCTCTAAAGGAAAGAGAACTAAGAAGAAGATGATTGGCCCTTCAGCGAGTGAGGAGAGAGGTGCCAATGCTAGTCCATAAACAATTCAACAATCCACTAGGCATCTTGCCTCTCCCATGAAAAGAATGAATGTGGAATTGGTGTAGAAAAGGCGACTGTGACATACCGACTAAGACTACAAGCACCCTAGAACATGGTATTGGGGGTGGAGCCACAACAAGTCCAAGGAAAGTGACACTCTCCTTGAGTTATAAGGGCATGCCCCTTACTATGAGAGCGATAAGGTGAGTTCCCTTTGGGTACCCAGTAGAGGTAGCTAGTACAAAGGAGGTATTCTCTACGAAGATCTGGATGACCTCAGTAGGAAGCTTAGTTGACGCTCCTCTCAAAGAAGGTAAGAATCATTTATGATCCCTAGAGAGGATTCTATTTGGTGGTCGAGTGTCCTCCACCAGCGAACCTTTGTATGCCTCTCCTCAAGCAAGTTGCTAGTTCATCCACTAAGCGAGTTCAAGGTGTTGGCACTAACGCGGTGGGCATCGACTTATATATTGAAACAACAGTCCTTCACAATGGTCTATCACACCCGTTGAAGATTTAGCTTGCTCGCCTCCCATGATTGTGAGTACCACTGCAGCTAAATGAATAGAACGAGCTAGGATTGGCTCATTCCCCTCCTTACCATTGGGGCCTTCCATAGATGTTGACGTGACACGTAAGTACAGACTCCTTAAGCTTCTTGGCCATGATAAGATTTTTAACTAGCCTTTGTAGGTGGCAACAATCCTCCGTGTCGTGGTCGTAATCCTTATAGAAAGCACTGTACTTTTGATATGTCCATGGCATGCGCACTCGCCTTCACAGGGTGAGTGAATAACATAATAGCAATTCATCAATCATACTGCATCTCTAGGAGAGCATGCAAGCTCTTCTAGAGTTTTTAGGGGTTTGTAAATTGGGTCAAGAACACCCTCTTGAACTTCGTGAAGGAGGTGATGACTCCGACAAGAAAGAGAGTAAACCAACTAAGTACAAATTCTTTGAGATTCATGGAAAGAAATTTGGCATTTCAAAGCTTCATCAAAATCTAGCAAAGATGTCATTTATTCAAATGTCACCGCGTGATATGTTGGATTAGTCCTACCCCTATAGGACTCCAAATGAGGCATTTTGAATTTCAGAGGCAGCATCACATCTGTTATTTCCCTCAAAAGGCATTTGTTAGGTCAGGCTCAACCCTTCTCATGCACCAAGGTGGTGTGTTATGGTCTTCATCACTTGTCATGGTGCAAGTGGGATCTGGATTAGGTCTCGAGGGCAACGCTCTACTCTCCGGCCTCCTACAATGAACTATCGATTCAAAGAATCCTTTAGGAGTGCTTTCTCTTTATGTGTGGCTTGATAGCCCAATCGAGGCATCCTAGATTATCATTATTTCAAATCTCTCCTCCATCTCCACGAGATCAAGGAGAGTAGTGTTGTTCAAATTTTCCATGTTGATAAACAGTTCGGGCTTGGTTTACTCGCCAAGCTATGCCTGTCTCATAGCCACTAACATCAATCCACGCTTATCGCGCCTTTTAGATTGTTAGATCCAGATATGTCCGTGGTGACACCCAACCTTACTTGCAGGCAAGCTTAGGAGGTTATAACTCAAGAACCTATTGTAAAAATGGAAAGAAGAAAAACATTCTCTAGAAAGTGTTTCACTAGCTCAAATGCTTCTTTAGAAAGTTCCAAAATATCCAAATTTTCCTCTTCATCCCTTATTTATAGGGATATAATACCTACAAGAAGGCTACATCAAGAAAGAGTGGAAAGTATAATAATGAATGACCCTTGTACAAACTACCCTTGACATATGCCATGCTCCAACTGGCCTAATGTATGGCGATATCTTTTAATTCAACAACTATATATCAAGGCAAGTTCCCTTGTGTTAAGTGCCCATGGGCGAGTGAATGTGGGCGAGTTTGCTGATGAGGGCCAAATTAAGAAGATTGTGACTAATGAGTCATTTGAAGTTGTTGGCGACCTTTCGATGGAGTCCCTGGATTGCTTCATTGTGGGAGGCGTGTCCATTCAAATCACAAGGTTAATAGACTCCATGGTTGGATGAATGTGGTGAGGCGAGCTAGAATCCCCTTGAGAAAATCATTCCTTGTATTATAGAAGAGTGATTATCATTGAGAGCGCTCCGCCCCAAGTGGAAGTGATTGGCTTGAATGGGTGCTCATCATTGTAGAGAGAGTCTCAATTTGAGTGGTCCATGTGAACCCTTAAAGTACTAATTCACCTTTTATGATATGCCAGCTACTTGCTAAAATATCAAAAAAGGTATATGCGAGTATACAAATTTAATTTATCAACTGAACCTATTGGGAATCTTCGAGTAAGAACATTAGTTAAAAAAATACTATGGCTACAAAATTCTATAAGAGCATGTAAATCAAATATTTTAAATACTACAACAACAATAAGCATTTATCCCACTGTGGGATCGGCTACATAAATCTTTTTTCTCCGTTGTGTCCTATAAAAAGTCAAATTCTTATTTAAATCCAATAAAAAGATCATTTTTAATACTTTCTAACCAAGGCTTTTAGGTCTACCTCTACATTTCTTGACATAGGCATGATCTAATATATCTACTCTCCTGATAGGATTATTTAAAGGCCGATGTTTTATGTGACCAAACCATCTATGGAACTCTCTAATCTTGTCTGCCTTGGATACATATATACTCATTTCTCATTATGTCTCTAAGTGTAAAGTCACTCATCCACCTAAGCATCCTCCTCTCTGCAACACTTAAGTTTGTGCTTCTCTTTTGATGGCAAAAATTTTGCGCCATCAAACATTGCAAGTCTCACCACCATCTTAAAAACTTTTCCCTTAAGTTTGAGGGATACTTTTTTATCACACAATAGGTCCGTTGCATTCTTCCACTTCAATCATCCAACTTGAATTCAACAAATAATATTTCTATTTATTTCACCATCGCTTTGAACAATAGATTCGAGATATATAAAATGAGCTCTTTTTTTAATGACTAGATCACCCAATATCACAATCCCACAACTAGATTTATCACTACTAAAATTACACTTCATATATTTATTTTCAGATCTATTCAAATGAAAACCTATAGAGTCCTTTTTATAAACTCTCTCTCTAGTCTTATCAACAAGAAGAATATCATTAGCAAAAAGTATACATCAAGGTACATCCTCTTATAAATGTCTAGTAAAAACATCCATGACTAAAGCAAAAAGATATAGGCTTAAAATTGATCCTTGATGTAATCCAAAAAAAATAGGAAAATACTTGTTCAAATCAAATATCTTGAACGTTAAAATCCAGTCAATTTCTCGTATAATTAAAATGAAAAAAAAAAAAAAGACATACTGGTAAATTAAAGATGAATGGACCTTGCATGGTATATTTCGGATATACTCAAGTAGCAGCTTCATAGCACTGCCTCGAATTGGCCTTTGCCTTTGTGAGATGAACTGTTTAATGAAGACAACATTTTTCATGGTGTCAAGCAAGTCTATGATTGTTGCTGAAGAAGAATAGTGTATATTGAAGTACTTATTTAGTAAAAACAGTTGCCATAGTAAGTGACAGGGAAACGATATATAACGGAAGAGATGGAAATGAGGCATACCTGCACGATCATAACTAGAAATCTTGAAAGGCATAGATCATCAACGTTTAATGGATCAAGCTTCTCAAGATCAATAATGCTATAACCTTCCTGCAATAAGATTAGAACAACAAATTTGAGTAAATTAAATTTTGAATAAGACAATACATCTACCCACGGATTGTTGGCGTGGCATCCCCTTAGTTGCATGATCCAACACTCTCCCTCAAGTTGGGTTTTACAGGTTGTACAATCCTAACTTGCAAACAAACTTATCAAGTAGAGAGTCCGATAGTACCTTTGTTAGAACATCAGCAAGTTGTTCATGAGTTGGGTATATACTACTACAATTTTTGAATCCTCTATTTTCTTAGATGTAAAGTGCCTATCAATAGTAACATGTTTTGTTATGTCATGATGTATTGGATCCTTGGCCATGCTGATTGCAGCTTGATTTTCACATTTCAACTTTATAATGCCTTCAATCTTTATTCTAAGTTCAATCAATACTTGTCTGATCCAAATACCTTCACAAATAGTAACTGCTAATGCTCTCAGTTCAAATTCTAAACTACTTTTGAAAACAACAGATTGTTTCTAGCTCCTCCATGTCACTAGGTTCCCCCCACACAAATAAACAATATCCTGTGGTTGATCGACAGCCAACCTGACTTCATGCCCAATCTGCATCAGAATATAGGATCAATTTTATATCTTCATTTTTTTTTGAATAATAGCACCTTTCCAGGAGTGTTCTTGAGATATCTCAAGATTCGATATATTGCCTCCATGTGCTCCTTCATAGGATTACTCATATATTGGCTTACCATACTCACAGCAAACCCAATATATAGACGAGAGTGTGAGAGGTATATAAGCTTTCCTATAAGATGTTGATATCTTCCTTTATCTACTGGAACTCCATCCTTTTCTATCCCAAGTTTCTTCTTATGATCCATAGGTGTGCTGGCTGGTCTGCATCCGAGCATGTCAGTCTCCTTCAGTAGCTCTAAGGTATACTTGCGTTAGGAAATAAATGTACATTTGCTTGATCGAGCTATCTCCATACAAAGGAAGTATCTAAGTGATCCAAGATCTTTAACTTCAAACTCCTTAGACAAAGCCTGCTTGATCTTCATTATTTCCTCTATATCATTTCCAGTAAGGATGATCTCATCCACACATACAATCAGTACTGCTACCTTGTCTCTTTCTGACTACTTCACAAATAAGGTTAGGCGGTTTGGTCGAGTGAGAAGAGACTGCGACTATGAGCGACTCAGTTAGATTGAGTGAGGGTAGAAGTCACAGCTCTGGAGCGGAGGGAATGGGCTACTCGCGATAGGCTTGTTAGGTGGAAGAGCTTGGTCGGCGAGAAGGTGGCTTAATTAGGTGAGGTTAGGGCTAGAGAAGGTCGGAGGTTGGATGGGGCTAAGTCGGGCCCTCGACGTGCTAGAAGGGGGAGGTCTTGGCTTGGTGGAGTCGGATTGGGAAGGAGAATGGGCTTGGAGGTCGTGTGAGATTCGGTTGTTGAGGGATGAGGTCAGATGGAGCGACTGGATCAGCGGCAGTTGGGTCGGTTCTGGCTTGTAAGAGAGAAGCTAAAGTTGGACCAGGCAAAGGATTGTGGAAGGGTTCGTGAAAGGCTTGTGGCAGAAAGAGGCGACCAGATCTAGGGATTTCGTCTTCGACAAAGGGGTGAATAGAGGAGGAGATCGGAGGCGGACGTCGCAGGAGGAAGAGGCAAGGTAGAATGGAAGCTTGTGTGAGCTTGGCTTGGAGTCGAATGAGGTCGTTTGAGTCGTAGAAGAAAACGAGCAGGAAGCCTTTCATCTCATTTTAACAATGAGAGCGGAGCACGATCGAGGCGAGAAAATCCCGTAACGGCGTCGAATGCATAGTTATTTTGCAGGATTTATAGCGGATTTTGAACTGGGTTTTGGCTCTTTGTCCAGAGGTCAATACCACTATATCTATGGATTTACAAGCAATCATGCTTTTCTACAAGATCGGTAGAATGTACTATTTTTTCTAATAAAAGCAACCATAAATGGCAGGTGTTAAAACAAATGTACAACAAACTACATTCATAGCTGTAAACAGAAAAATACCCACATTCATTATAGACACAGATTCCTCCAACATTTTGTGGCTTATATTTTCTATAAATAAGCGTGTCAAACGGCATGCAGATACAAGTGCCTTCATTTCAGATGAAAATGAACCTGTAAAAACATAACAGAAATTATTTTAGACAACAAGCTGAAGGCAACAGGTGTAATCGCTTTCCCAATCAGAATTATTATTTTTTCTACTTTGAAAGAAAAGAAAAAAGGTATGATAAATTCCTATTTCTGCTAAAGAATAAAGGTTGCAATTACGCAGTTGGCAAGATTTAAGAAACACACTTGAGGACAAGTTCTTCAGAGCAATTCGTATGCGGTTTCGGGTAAACAGTGTGCATTGATTTGTTGGATCTTCCACCCATATTTGTTTACCACCTTGGCATATCTGCCAAAAAAAACGTTGGTAAACAGCTTCAGAAAAATTCGCAGTAGTGATGAAACTAAGAAAAATAGAAAATTATACAATAAGTTTTTAAGAAATCAAATTTAATAAAATGATAATTGGCGGACAATTGCTCTTTCCAACATTTATTATCATTTCTTCTACATTTTATTCTAGGCTTTCTAGAGCTCTAGATTCTATTCAAATTTAATAAAATTTGAATTTTATTTGTGATGATTAAATTGTAATTGCTCATTGATCATTCATATTACGTAGTTTCTTCTTTTTTTTTTTGTTAACTTCTTCGGATTTATTCATTAAGTACATGAACGCTTGAATTTTAATTCATGTATTTATTGTTTATATTTAAAGAAAGAGAAAGTTATTAACTTAGTAGTTTCTGATCTATGAATACTAATTTCACTTGCATGATTTGCATGCATTGCATTATTCTAATTGCATTAGGAAACTCAACTATTGAACCATCTCACATCAAATTGATACTAGAGCATTAAGTTGCCATAATGTCACTCAAAAGGCTTGGTAATTATAAGGGAAACATAACAAATCCTAAACAGGAAGGGATTTTGATCCCTTTACAACAATGATTAAAAAAGTTGCCGAATAAATAAAAATAAATTTACGATAACATTAGGGTGTTTTAAAATGATACTTATTCATCAATGTCAAAATTTTAAAGTAGATAATGATATAACAAGAAAAGCTAAATTTGAAATGTCAACTCACTATGATAAATGTAAATTTTTATTGAGTGTACCTAGATTTAAATAATTTTTCTAAATCATATCTCATGAATGACAAGTAACGTTTGCCAAAAAAAAAAATTACACAAGCTAAAATCTATTAGATGAGCATGTAGGAGCAAAGGAAAAGGTAGGCTAGGGAATCTACCACAACTTGAGTTGAAATGAAAGAACTTTTACGAGAAAAATATTTCTTTGTTCTGTCATAATCATTTGATTGATATATTTTATTCATTAAAGCAAGAGACCAAAATTATTACGGAGTACATGAATAAATTATAAGAATTGTTGTTGCACTTTGATATCATTGATATACTAAAACAACACTCGAAATTTAGATATTTGAGATTTGATATCAAGAGAAAAAAATCAACTCACTACATTACATCACATAGCATGTTTTTCAACTTATATCTAAGAGGGCTACAGCATATTCAAGTAGTGAGTCATTTCATCAAAGCAAGTAAGTTTAATGTCGCACCTATTGCATCACTTAGCATGGTGGTAATACTACCGTCAATAAGATTACTACAGGGAAATAAAAAACATCTCATCCAATAATTTTTTTTCAAAGGAATGCTTTAACTGTTATCAAATTGGTTATTATGCTAATATCATGGCAAGAACTTGCAAGTAAATGTAGATGAAAATAATGATTCTAATGATGTTCATAAGCTTTTTGAGGCTATTTGTGGTTTTGGCAATGCTTTAGTTAATAGTTCTTTGATTACACCACTCCCACAATTGAATATGATTAGAAAAAAACAACAATTTTTCAAAATATTTCGAAAAGAGAAGAATTGTTGCATGTATAGAATTGATAGTGGGAGTTGTATGAATAACATGTCAAAATCTGCAATAAACCACATGCATTTGAAGCTTAAATGATATCCACAATCATATAAAGCAATATTGGTAGCTAAAACTATTATTTCTATATCTCAAAGATGTCTAGTGTCTATTCATTTCGCTACATATGCTCATAAAATTTGATATGAACTGCTTTCTATGAATGTTACATAATTTAGATGTTGCGCATTTAGGGACATCTAATGCATATACTTTCAAGATTACTAGAAGAAAGGTAATTTCCAAACCTGAAAAACATAAGAATAAGTCTGAAAGGGCGGGAGACATGTATGCAACATCGGTGGAGGGCTCGACAGGATCTTTTGATAGATCGTCAGTGTATTCCATGCCTAGCTCAAAAGGATCTTGTAGAGGAACTGTGGTTTGATTGAGTTCCTCCTCCCGAATGAAACTGCAAATACATATATCTAAAGGAATGGTGGTCAGAGAACGCCTCGATAGCCTAAGCTCTTTAAAAAACCACCAATAATGACTCACTGTAGCTAGACGAATTGTTGGCAAAATCAATTCTCCCCTTCTGCTCCGACAGGGGGAAAGTCACCTATGGAATAGCTCCTCATCTGGAGGAATTATTCATATTGACGTCCAAATATCAGTAAACCAGAGACAGTCTGTAGCTCCCATAGCGTCATTGTCAGGTACTCGAAGCCCATGGAACATGTATTGGTTGTTGGGTCCCAGAATTCTATCACCTTTTTTATCCAAGAGTGGGGGATATTCTCAAAACTGAACATTGAAGCACATATAGATTTGTATATACCTGCTCTTTTCAAAATACTTTTATGAGCCCTTTAGACATATATTGCCCAAAAAGCATATCCACGTGCATGTCTAGAGAGCTGCCCAACTGGAGAATCCCTAAGCCACTCATGCGTAGCCAATTGTAATTGTCGGTGACTCAATAACCTTGATTGCCCAACTTGCTCGCATCGGCGGTCAGCTCCAGAATATCGCACATACCGGAGCTCACATGAGCAACGGAACTCTCCAATGGATTATAATCCCCACACTTCAATCTGACAGTGGTCACCTACTCCGCAAGATCTTTAAATGTTGAGGGGTCGAGCTCATAGTGCGACAGTAAAGACGAGCACATGAACAATTCGTTGTAGATGCTACAGCCTCTCAGCATCTGCACATGTTGCTCCAGCCTATCACACATATCAACAGTCCAGTGATGATCATGCACGTCAATCATTGCCCAAATAGCCTCCTTATAAGGCTCACTTTGCGGCAGCCCCTCCGGTCTGCTCCAGTTGAACATCTTCCTGACAAAAAGAAAATAAAATTATAGAAAGCATGCATGCCGATAAAAAACTAAGAAGAGGTATAAAAATACTTTATATATTTTGCCCTTATCCTGTGTTAACGTCTAAGAAAAAAAATGAGAAGAATATCTTGGAGAACTGCAATATCAACTGTTTACAAAAAACATGTTCCACTTTAAGCGCGCATCATATTTGTTCGAGGGCATTTGTTGACCTCCATACTAATATTGGGGTCGAGTCGACCGTGCAAGGTGAATTTTGAAAGCAAATGAGTGCGACACCCCGCATAACTCACTCGATGTGTGTCGACTGAAAGCCAAAATCACCAAAATGGCCTCCGTTCACGAAACAGATAGCGTCAATGCTTTAGGAGCAATGGAAACAGTTAAGATCGACACTCATATGGATTGAGATTGTTGATTGGCAAAAACTTAAATTTTACGCTCATACATCGAGGTGACGACATGTGCAAACGACGACGCCGTGGTGACCAACTCGATGCATAAAAAAAATTTCATGTAATTTAATTATAAAAATTAATTTAAAGAGATTAAAAAAAAAAAAAAATTCTAAATACTCAAAATACCCCCACTTAAACCCTCATAAGACTCCCCTAAACTCTCCCATCTACCCCCCTCACGACAGTTACGCCTCCCACACACGCAAGAGAGCCAAATTTCCTGTCCCTCTTGCGACTCCAAGCCGCCGGACACCATCTCAAGCTTTCCAAGGTAGCTTCTCCTCCTCATTTTTCCTCATCATCTACTCCATTCTTCTTCCTTTCTTCTTCTTCTCCTTTTCCATTTTTCTTTCTCCTTCTTCCTCCCTCAATTTTTCTCATTCATTTCTTCTTCTCTCCTTCCTCTCCTCTCTTTTTCTTCCTCTCCTCCATCTTATTCTTCTTCCTCCACAATTTTCTTCCCATAACTAAAATAAACTCTAACCCTAAACTCCCTTCACAAAAAGTACTCTCCCACACATCCTACAAACCCCAACCAAAAATCCCTTCACCCTCCACTTTCTCTCTCAAGCCTAAAGAGAAAATTCAACAAAGCTCATGACTTAGTGAATTTTAAAGAAATTAAAATTTACCTAAATTTCTAATTCAACAAGAAAAATAAAACACACGATATCCAAGGTTCCCAACAATTAAAGCAAAGATGAAAAGAAAATTTAGACTAAAACAGAATATAGTGAACTTGTAGTAGAACTAGTTGATCACTAACAGGTAGGTACCAAGTTTCTTTCTCTTAGCTCCTGACTTGCATACACCTAAGCTCCCCAATAATACTCCTAACAGAATTGAAGTGTGAAAAATGAATTAAGCCTCCCTCCTATTTATAACATAAAAGTCAAATTATTGATGGGCCCCATCAGCATATGATCAATTTGTTAAAAGATAAGGAAGGTACACCTACGGGCCCCACCAGCCTAATATCCCTTTGCTAAAAGACAATGAAGGTATGTCTACAATTCCCACCAACTTATGATCCATTTTTAAAATATGTTAAGATGCTTTTTCGAGGCTCTAGCTTTGGATTCCTCGAGTATTCACTAGCGGGTGAAATATGAGCATAGATACACCTAAATACGGGCGATAATTATCTTAAAAATGGGAGGGGTATAAGTAAAAATTATTTGACTTTTCCTATGAAAATGCATTTACAATAATTAATAACCCATAGGAATTCTCGTATAACCCCGATAATTAATCTGGTTAAATGATTCATAATAAAGTGAGAAGTGTCCATCATATTGCAAGTCATGGGTGCACAAGTGCTTTAGATAGCTTACACGCCCGCCATTAAAGACAAGGGACTTGTAGGCACCCCGTGAAGACGACATAAATCCTGTAAACATGTCTTCAAAAAGAAACAACATGGTGCATTGTTATTTGTCACGGGCTGCACAACCCTTCATTAAACTGTGCATGACGCCTCAAAATCATTAAAAGGTGTCACCTATGAGCCCTTACCCCTATTGTATAATATGTATGTACCAAATACATACAGACGCATCGAGTGGCACACATGCATACTTCCAATCATAAGAGCGCACTAAGTAACCTACACACATGCGTTGATCATGCAAACCACTTCCT